TGTATTTCTTTCTTTCTCTCTTTCTTTCTTTCTTTCTTTCTTTCTTTTCCACTGTATTGATTTCTAACTCTCTATGTCATCCAGTTCATATCTATCTGTCTATGTCAATCAGTTCATACCTATCTATGTCAATCAGTTCATATCTATCTATCTATCTATCTATCTATCTATCTATCTATCTATCTATCTATCTATCTATCTATCTATCTATACCAGTGTATTTCTTTCTTTCTTTCTTTCCCAGTGAATTGATTTCTATCTCCCTAAGTCATCCAGTTCATATCTATCTATGTGAATCATTTCATATCTATCTATCTATCTATCTATCTATCTATCTATCTATCTATGTGTATATGTGTGTGTGATAGAGAGAGCGAGAGAGAGAGAGAGAGAGAGAGAGAGAGAGAGAGATAGAGGCTCTATGCGTGTGTCTGTACGTTTCTGCATAATAACAGGGATAATTGGATATATTGACATTTCATTTCACCTCCAGAGCGAAATACACCATGTTGAATCTATGCCGGGCTAATGGCTCTTCGCCAACGGATTCCAATTTGAGTGTCAAGGTCATTTCGTCCAAAGCTACGTTAACTTTATAGGTCTGGTAGTTGGAAGGAGAATGGCACAACTAAATACCTTTCAGCCGCATTTTTTCTTTCTTTCTTTCTTTCTTTCTTTCTTTCTTTCTTTCTTTCTTTCTTTCGTTTGTTCTTTCTTTCTTTCTTAATGATATCTCCAACCATATATTGGACATGCAACGAGGTAAATTCCCGAAAAAATTATCGTTGGGGTCAGGTAAGCTGTTTTACATGTCCGTTAGGACTTACACTATTTCCATCGTTCCGACTCTTGTCCGCATCTTTATTGCCATATTTACGACGTTGCTGCCATTGTACGCTCTGGCCTTCTTCAGGATTTATCTATATTTCTGAGATGACGTATATTAATTATTTACACTATTTACATTGTTTGGACTGATGTTATCATCTTCGTTGCCATATTCCTGACGTTTCGGCCGGTGCACGCTCCGGCGTTCTTCAGGATATGTCTATATTACTGAGAAGAGATATTTGAACAATTTACACTACATCACTGAGACTGTTGGCTTCACCTTTATTGCCATATTCACTACGTTTCGAACGTTGCACGTTCCGCTCTTCTTCAGGATCTGCCTCTATGTCTGAGAAGAGGCATTGTAACTATTTACACTATTTACATCGTTCGGACATTTGTTCTCAACTTTATTGCCACATTCACGAGGTTTCGGTCGTTATACGCTCCGGCCTTCCCCAGGAACTGTCTATATTTCAGAGATGAGGTATTTTAACAATTTACACTGCTTATATGTTTAGGACTGCTCTTCTCATCTTTACTGCCATATATATGACGTTTCGTTGTACGCCTCAGCTTGCTGTATTACCAAAGAATTCAGGCGCTGACCCATTAATCAGAAAACTGCCAACTCACTACCTTTAAAATATTGCAGCCTCAGATCAGTCAAAAAGCGTTAGACAAATCATTAAGACCATAGAAGAAAGAAGGAACTGGTAAACCATATTCTCCATAAGAAAAAATGTAAAAACCTTCACTCCTGTTTACACTATTTGCATCGTTCATACTGGCGTGCTTATCTTTATTACGATATTCAAGACGTTTCTGTCCTTGTACGCTCCAGCCTTCTTCAGGTTATATACGATGGAATTTTGAAACGAACGCTTTATTTACTCCATGGAGGTAGATTTTTCTAATTTCATACGCCATGTATTTTGGGGTATCACAGTTTCGATTAAAGACATTTAGCACTTCAACTCTGCAATTTTTTGCTCACTCTGCTGTGGCCAAGTATTGAACGCAGAACTCTTTTTGTCAAGTCACTTTTTGGATTACTCGACCAACACTTTTAATCACTAGGCCTGAACAATCTATCCTCGTAGACTAGATAAAGGGTTCGGTTTGAAATTACGGCGTATATCATTTGAATACGGTCGGAGCGTACAATGGCCGAAATGTAGTGAAAATTGCAATAAAGATGAGGACAACAGTCTGAACAATGTAATTAGTTTAAATAGCTACATTACCTCATCTCGGAAATATCGATAGACAGTGAAGAATGCCGGGGCGTCCAGCGGCCGAAACCTCGAGAATATGACAATAAAGATGATGACAACAGTCTAAACAATGTAAAAAGTTACAGTACATCTTCTCAGAAATATAGGCAGATCCTGAAGAAGGAAGGGCGTCCAACGGTCGAAACCTCGAGAATATGACAATAAAGATGAGGGCAGTAGTCCAAACAATGTAAATAGTTAAAATGCATCTTTTCAGAAATATAGGCTGATCCTGAAGAAGGAAGGGTGTCCAACGGCCGAAACCTCGAAAATATGAGAATAAAGATGAGGGCAATAGTCCAACCAATGTAAATAGTTAAAATGCATCTTCTCAGAAATATAGACAGATCCTGAAGAAGGAAGGGCGTCCATCGGCCGAAACCTCGAGAATACGACAATAAAGATGAGAACAGTCCAAACAATGTAAATAGTGAAAATAGTTACAATACATCTGATAAATATTGACTTATGTCGATTAATATATTATTTAATATCAAAATCAGTCATTTTTATAAACCAGAATTATTTTGTAATAAACTAACTCGTCTTGAAGACCTTACAGAATTTAGTATTGTTGAAATTATCGCTGACATTTTTTGTCAAAATTTACAAACTTTCCGTTTCGTTCAAACCAATTGATGAAATTTGAATTGGTTATTTTGAAAAAAAGACTTTGACCAAATAATAATTTCTTTAATTTAATTTAATATTATAGAAGTTCATGGTAAACAATATTTTTTTTTAATTTGGTTTTGTTTTGTCAATATATGGCTATTTTAGAAGTGGTAACGGACTGACTAACGGACGCTTGTACGAACTATATGAATTCACAGAATTTTATATATAAATGTATTTGTTACTAGAAACAATTATTTGGTTTTGGCATAGTTAAATATTGGCTGCTTATTCTTGAGTCGATAATTTGATGTGAGCTTCTACACTTGATACTACAGGACAATATTAATTGTTTATAGGTGAATCTATAGGTTAATATTAGTCGTATCTATCTAATTCTATAACTAATCTTAATTCTATAATTAATCGTTTATATTTGAATCTATGGGTTAATATTAGTCGTATCTATTTGATTTATTAGGTCAGTATTTTTCGTTTTTACTTGAATAAACGTTAATATTAGTCGAATCTATCAAATTCTATATGCAAATATTGATCGTTTCTCGTTGAGTCTATAGGATATTATTCATATCTAACTGATTCTATAGATCAATATTGATCGATTCTACTTGAATCTATAGGTTAATATTTGTCGTATATATCTGATTCTGTATTTGTCTATATTTCTGAGATGAGGTATTATGTGCAATATTTACATTATTCGGACTATTAACCTCATCTTTGTCGCCATATTTTTACAAAGTTTCGGCCGTTGTACGCTCCGGCATTCTTCAGGTGGTTGGAATGTCGAACTTCGCCCTTTATTTCGCTCACTGGGGTAGACTTTTCTAGTTCCCCTTGGCATGTCTAATGGATGTAAGTTATTAGTTATCTTCTGCTTAATTCCCTCTCTTCTGATTCTATAAGTCAATATTGATTGTTTATAATTGAATCTATAGGTTAATATTAGTCATACCTATTTGATTTATTATATCAATATGCATCGTTTATACTTGAATCTGCAGGTTAATATTAGTCGAATCAATTTGATTTATTAGGTGAACATTGATAGTTTATACTTGAATCCATAGGTTAATATTAGTCGTATCGATTTGATTCTATAGGTCAATATAGATCGTTTATACTTGAAACTGTAGGTTAATATTAAAGGTTTCTATTTGATTTATTAGCTCAACATTGTCTTTGCCTCGTCTGGGTTTCTCTCCGCCCGAAGGCAGAGAGTCGACAAGCAGAGTAACGGTTAATTGTTAAATCCTCTCCCCTCTCCCTCAGAGAGAGAGAGAGAGAGAAGAGAGAAGAGAGATTGCTGTTTAAATAGTTTTAGATCAGTCCATCTTGTAGGGGTGTTCAGCTTACACCACAACAGGTTCCGTTCGACTATCTTAGACACAACCAATGCTACTATAGTTGCAGGGCATATGGTACCTTCGAGATCTTAACGGGAAACTGTAATCGTTAACTTGATTGTGTACAATCCAAAAACAACGCAACTTTACTTATTAGTGCATACTAATAACAAATCTCCATCTTGCTTTTATATTTCCAGCGTCATGTTAATGTCCTCAGTACTTTTGGAAGGGATATACGAATGTTATAATTATACACATGCCACATAACATAATGTTATGTTGTTTTTCCATTGATGGCATGCCGAGTTTCATTCTTAATTATCTGACGCAGCCTTCACATCTAGCTTCTTTTCCTCAGTTAATTTAAATTCTTCTTCGCACAGGCTTCTTTTCTCTTTTTGCCTTTTTTCATTTATACGACGTTTCTTTCTACAACTGAAGTTTATCTTGCCATATTCTTTACTTTTCTTCACCTTTTTTATTTTATCATTTTCAACCAGAAATAATTTCCAATTTAGTAAATGTCACTAGAGAGAAAGGAAAAGACGTTGCGAATGTTTCGTCACACAGCAGACGACAAGGCATTTTGCGTAACCGCTTTCCGCCTCTGTTCAACTAGCCAATCAAATGCCGCGCTTATGAACACACCTAAATAAACAAACGGAAGTTTTATCAGATCTTTATTTTTTTTTCTTCTCCAATGTCAGTCATTCATGTTGATGTTACGATGCTTACTGTCTGGAATCAGGGATTTATAACGGAACTGGACCATAATTTGAATTAGCATGTGGCTCGTAGATTCTTTCTTTTTTTCCTTTCTTTCTATCATTTTCCTTTCTTTCTTTCTTTTTTTATTTTCGTTCTTTTTATTTTCTTTTTTTCTTTCTTTTTTCTTTCTTTCTTTTGATTTCTTTTATTTATTCTTTCCTTTCAACCATTTCATTTATTCTTACTTTCTTCCTTTTCATGAGTTTTTCTTTTTTGTTTCTTTTTCTGTTTCTTTCTTTCTTTTTTCTTTTGATTTAATTCATACATCATTGCCCTTTTTTTTTATTTTTGTCTCTTATTTTCTTATTTACTTACTTATAATTTCTTCATTATTCTTTCTATTGTTCTTTGGTATTTTTCTTTCTTGCTAGCTTGCTGCCTTTCTTTCTTTATTTCTTTCTTTTAGTTTCATTTACCCCTTCTTTAATTTCCACGTTTTTAAAAATGATTCCAAAGTTCTTTTATGTTTTCTTTTTTTAATTTCTTCTTCTTCATGATTTTCATTCTTTCTTTCTTTCGCTTGATTTATTTCTTGTTTCTGTTTGCATTTATCTTTTATTTCACTTTTTATTTTTTCGATGATTCCTTCCTTCATTGCTTTTTATTTCTTCCTTTCGTTTCTTTTCTCACGATTTCCTTATTTATTTTGACTTTCTTTCTTTCTTTCTTTCTTTCTTTCTTTCTTTCTTTACCTTTTCATTATTTCTTTATTCATTTTGATTTTCTTTCTTTTATATTTCTTTCTTTCTTTCTTTCTTTTCTACCTTTCCCTACGTCTTTCATTATTTTTCTTTATTTTGCTTTTTTCTTTCCTTCTTTCTTTCTTTCTTTCTTTCTTTCTTTCTTTCTTCATTTTGATTTTCTTTCTTTCTTTCCTTACGTTTTTCATCATTTCGTTCTTTATTTTGATTTCCCTTGTTTGTTTGTTTGTTTCTTTTTTTTCTTCCTTTCTTCCTTTGCCTTCTTCATTATTTCTTTATTCATTTTGATTTTCTCTCTTTCTTTCTTTCTTTCTTTCTTTCTTTCTTTCTTTCTTTCTTTCTTTTGTACCTTTCCTTACCTTTTTCATTCATTGATTCTTTCTTCTTTTCTTTCTTAACGTTTTTCACTATTTCATTCTTTATTTTGATTCCTCTTCTTTCTTTCTTTGTTTCTTTCTTTGTTTCTTTGTTTCTTTCTTTCTGTCTTTCTTTCTTTCTTTCTTTCTTAATCACGATCTCTTTATTTTCTTTTCAGATCCAGCGTCAACTTCTATACTTCATTCTTTCTTTCTACTTTTCTTCATTCTGCCCCCCTTTTCTCGATACTTTCTTTCTTAGTTTGTTTCTTTCTTTCTACATTTATTTATTTACTTCTTTTCTTCTTTTCTATTTCTTCATTCGTTAGTGTCATAAAGTGCAACCAATCTGTATACCGCTCTCTAATTTTATTTACAGGGTCAGTCTGCACTTCTATTTACCAATACTCTGGTGGGTAGAGATTGATTCGTTCCTTTCCAAGGGTACGTGAAGGTCAGTGAATTTCTCAATCCGAGCCGCTATCGATTACATCACCGTGTCCCCATATATGGCATGATACTCAGAGGATATAGGCTATTTATCATGCATGAATTTTAATTGTGATATATATATATATATATATATATATATATGTATATATATATATATAATTGTATTGCTGCCATATATGGTCTGGAGCCCCTTCTGTTTGCCTCGGCGTTCTTGATAAGATCCAGAGGCGGATATGCAATATAATTGGCCCTGATCTGGCATCTCGTCTACAGTCGCTCTCTCATAGACACGCCGTCGCCTCTCTCTGTCTTTTTTTACAAATACTTTCATTGTTCCGAGGAGCTGCATACGCTGGTTCCCAGACTTTATGAATTCAAGCGCCCTACGAGGCTGGCATCCCCCTCTCACCCTTTCACTGTTGAAACTATTTAACGTAGCCGTCTCTTCTACTCCAATAGCTTATCTCGCACCTCTCGCCTGTGGAACTTCCTCTCTTATTTCTGTTTCCCTGAGAGCTATATTCTCCAACTATTCAAATGTAATGTCAATCGACATCTCCAGTGGCCTTGATCTATTCACTACCCTTCTCCTCATCCTTTCCTCTATCACTCCTATCTGATCTTGCTGCAAATCTTCTGTAACCCCTTGCGTCCTAGTGGCTTCCTGCCTTGCTTGGGGTGAAACGCTTAAAAAATGTCTGGGGTTCGGGATTGCTTGTTTTTTTTTAACTTTTCTGTCTAATTTGAGCTTTTAGTTCTAAGACGCAGAGCGATTTTGGGGGATATTTTAATGAAAAAAAAATCAACTTACGGAAAATACAGTATACGAGGTCTATCTGAAAAGTAACGGTACTGGTATCACAAATAATTTATTTCAATTCCAAACAACTACATGTTTTCTCTTTCAAGTAACCCTGCTCGTGTCTAATACATTTTTCTATCCATCCCTGTCACGCTTCTATGCATTGCTTGAAAGATTCATCTTGGGTACCTTTCAGCTCCCTCGTAACTGCCTTCTTGATGCCCTCCCCGCCTTCAAAACGAGGTCCCTTGATGATCTCCTTGAGCTTGGGGATAAAAAAAACAAAAAACAACAACAAAAAAAACGGAAGAAGATCAGGAGTTGTTCCTGTACATTGAGGTTCTTCTTGACCAGAAACTTTTGGAAATTAGAGTGTGTGTGCAGGTGCATTGCCGTGACAAAGCAGCCATTATTTATCCTGCCAGAAAAAAAAACATGTGAAAAAAAATGCAATGGTTGCAGAAAGCTAAGATTACAAACAGAATGGTGTTGAGCGGTCTCTGACTGCGCACGCCTCCTGTCGAACTCTCTGCGTTAGCAGAGAGGAACCCGGACGAGACTTTGCCGAAGGGCAAGGTTTCGTCCGGGGAGGTAGACAGGGCCTGAACCCGTCTAGGCGGGTTCAAAGGCTATATTTTTGGCCGGGCCTACGGGCTCGGGGATACCCACATTAAAACCGGCCTTGTGCCATATTCGGTTCTCGTGGGTGGAACGATAAATACTGAAAGCTAAGATTACAAATATATACTCCCAAGACATCATGTTAGATGATAACACAATCCTCTTCACCCCCTTGCGCCCAGCAAACCCAATTCCATTACTTTTCAGACATCCCTTTCAGACATGAATTTCTAAAAATTCTTCATCTAAACTTATTTAAGAATTAAAATAAATTAGAACGGCAAAAACACGAGAGAGATGTAAGTTATTAAGAGAATGTCGCCCTAATTTCTAAACAATGTACATTTTTCTCCGGCCATTAATTTTAGGGCTTCCGATTTGCAAGGATTGTGTAACAAACCATATGCGGTTCCGGTCATTTATAACACAAACACATGGATACCAGATGGAAAAACATCAAAGAATTCAAAGACCTTTTGATGGCTTGTCTCTAGTGGTAGAGCGCGGAAATGTAAAACTCGAGGTCGGGTTGGTAGCAGTTAATGTGAGCCAAAAAGAACGTGGCCTGTGAATATTTTGAGGCATCCTCAAAAAAAAAAAAATAAAAAATAAAAAAAAAATGCCTGTCCATGTGTGAGCATTCGGAAAGTAACTTATACACGGCTAAGAATATATTGTTAAAACATTATATTTAATTACAACTCAAAATTTAATAGTATTGTTTAAAATTTGCTATTACTGCACGGAGGCACGAAAACAAATTTATTCTGCGCTATCTAAAAGCACATCATAACCCAAAATAAATAAATAAATAAATACAATTCCATAAACTAATTTAATAACGGAAGAAAAATAAATAAGACAAACGCATTAAATTATAACATTTACTAAGTAATCCACGATTCATGATCATAAATAAACGTAGCCGGTTTACATACGCACATTCTCCAATCACCCAACCAAAAAAATAAACAATGAAGAGAAGATTACCAGAAATAAACCTCAGTATTATCTCTAAACAAAAGAAATTGGGAAGTGGATTACTTAAGTTAATCCCCCAGTAACCCATAAATATAGCCCGCTAAATATATAGTGACACTCTCTGAAGATTGCGTTGAAGCGTGAAACTCACATGACTATAGATTCTCTCTGTTTCTCTGTCTCTCTGTCTCTGTCTGTCTGTCTGTCTCTCTCTCTCTCTATATATATATATATATAGTACACTTTATATATAAAGTCGCTTATGATAGGGGTTAATGTATAGGTTGAAGTGGTCCTGTTGAGTGTCCACCGAGGTCACCAGATCTCACACTTTCTTTTTTTCTGTGGGGCCATTTGAAATCAGTTGTTTATCAGATGCGCCAAGAACTTGAAGAAAGAATTAAGTATGAATGCAGTGAAATGACAGAGGAAACATTTTGACAAATCATGTGTTTTGAAAAAGAGGACATTTTTAACAGCACATATAACAATTAAATAATTAGTATAGAAAATATTCAAGCGTAATTATACTTTTAATAAATTATCATGAGGCGCGACTTTTGCCTCAACTACGTCTAAAACAATAAAAGAATTAATCAATACAAAACAAAAGAATAAGCTAGAACCTGAACGACGAATTTACTCTATCATATGTAATGATTGCCATAAAGAATATATTGGAGAAACCTCAAGAATTTCAAGTGAAAAAAATTTTTAAAAGGGTTATTTTACAAAAAACATATTAAACGAATTAGTTGCTCACCGTAACAAAACTAACCACAATTTTGATATAAAAAAATGATAGGCTAACAAAACAAAAAAAAAAAAAAAAAAAAGATAAAATTCACTGAGACGAATATGTTTAGAATGAGCTTTGATGGTTAGATGGTCGACATTAAATTTGTTTCCAGGTTCTTTCAGCGTTTCACCATTTTTGTCACATTTTCTGTTATTGCAATATGGTATATTTATTAACAAAAAAAAAAGAATTCAAATGAAATCGGATAGATTATATAGCCAAAACATACGCATATATATATATATATATATATATATATATATATATATATATATATATATCCCAACCTCACTCGTTCGTCGCATCATCTTAAACTTAGTCCGATGACTAAACGCGTCAGACGAAAAGCATTTTCTTTGTAATAAATATTTTTCTAAAAATTGTTCTTGATATATAAAACTTTATATATCGTTATGCACACACACA